CCATGTCCCCATGGAACAGCGGTGACAGACGCCAAGTGCTTCAGGGTCTGCATGGCTTGAGTCCCTGGGAGAACCCAAGGATCGATGCAGAAACAGGGTTGAAAAAGAACAGGAAACAAAGAGCATAAAATGATCTGTGAGACTCCAATTCACTCTCAGGTGTACAGAGGGCGCCTCTGCCACGTACAGCGCTGAGAATCATACAGAGCTGCCATATAGAGATCTTTCTATGTATATATTTATAGGTATGTATATATTTATAGTGCACTGCATTTAAAACAGACGGGCCTGCTTCTTCAGCTCGTTCCTCTTCCACAGGGCCAGGCGGTCGAACTCAGCGATGGTCATGCCAAAGATCTGGTAGAACTCCTCCTGGGAGAGGTGGCGCTGGGGAGAGAGGGGACGCTGGGCCAGGGCTGGGGACCATGGCCACCACCCGGGGCCAACAGCCACCACGCAGGCTGTACGGCTGCAGCAGGGCAGGAGGGCCCACGAGGGGGTCTGATGGCATCTCCTGCCCAGCTGGGTGCAATGGGGTACTACAACGCCCAGCAGTGTTCACTTGGGAGAGGGGGAGCGCCCGGCTCCCTCCTGCTCCTGCAAAACCCACTCAAGCTGTGGGCATGGGGAACAGCTCTGCCCAGCCAGCAGAGTAGCAGGACCACCGTGACAGTGTGCTGGCACACGTGTGCTCCTGGGGAGCTGTGGAGACGCTCCTCACACGTCCACAATCCCCTTGCAGCCCCACAGTGCCTGCTGGGGCTAAGGGGACACCCCACGGGATTGGGTCCTTCTGAGCCCTGAGGAGATTGTTGCCAGTGGAAAAGGCTCTCCTCACCTCTAACCGAGTCCTGTCCACATCTTTGGGCAGCTGGTTCCTCCCTCTCGTCTTCACCAGGAGCAGCTCGTAGGGGTATATCTGCATGGGGACAGGAAGAGCATGGGGTAGCTCCAGAGCCAGGACAGTTGGGGCACACCTGGGAATGAGGCCGTGAGGCCGTGGGGGCAACCAGGGCAAAGCCTCCTCCTGCCATGTTTAGCAGGGTTTGGGTGGCACAGCTGCCTGCAGGGCTTGGATGGGACAAGGCAGAGGGGGGGCTTGCTCTCAGGATGACCCTAATCCACCTTGAATCACCTTGGTGGCTCTGGAATAGCCTTCCTCACTCTGCGAAACCAGGAGCAACCCAGGGAGGAGTGTGAGTAGGGAAGCACCAGCACAACCATCCTTCTCTGTTCCTCACCCAGGAGACTCTCCTCGGCCAAGTGCTTGGGACCCTGGCAGGATGGGAAGGACTCCGGTCCGAGCCCCAACAGTCCTGGGACGGGGCTGTTAGGTGGGGGATGGAGGGGGGTGAAGGTAGGGCATTGTGGGCAGGGGGCAAAACTTCCAGCTTCCTCCTGAAGGGCCTGGGGACACATGGACACGTCTCTGGGACTCCCTCTGGGTGGTACTCACACCTCTGGCTGGCAGCCGCTCCTTGGAGCGGGAACATCTTACCTTGTACTCTGTGGGAAAAGAGAAAAGACAAGAGAGACATGAGCCCCGCTGACCCCTCCGCTGCCAGGATCCTCCCCCCGGGGCTGCGGGGACCCCTGCCTGTCTCCCCCTTCTCCCTCCAGCCTGGACTTCATTTTCCAGAGCTGCCTGTGGTGGGGTAGGCAGCCCCACGGCATCTGGCTCCGTGCCTGCAGGGTCCCCTGCCCACGATGCCTCCCAGCCCCACAGCGCCTTACCTCGCATCCCCCAGTTGACGGCATTCGTGCTGTCATAGTGGAAAAGCTCAGCACTGGGAGGCTGTGGGAGGGATACAGAGAGGAGTAAAGAGGGGTCCCCTCCAGATGCTCAGCATGGCACCTCCCACATCCCCAGGGGAAAAGGCACCCACCCACCCCAAAGCAGGACCCACTCCCCAAACCTGGTGGTGGGGAAACTGAGGCACAAGGAGGTGAAGTGACAAGCTCAGGTCACACAGAGGCACGATCAGGTCTCCCAACCCCCAGCAATCACTGCCCCAGGGTATAAAGCAAAGCTCTCATGCTGGGAAGTAACACCAGCGTCCCTCTGAAACGTGCCCTGCAGGACGTTCAGGGCAGGCAGTGCCTGGAGAGGGCAGTTTGGTCCCCAATAAGGGTCATTTTAGATTGGCACACACCAGCAGTGACAGCAAGGATGCAGAGAAGGGGGAGCAGGTCATGAAAGGGGAGCACAGAGGGCTTTGAGGAGCCTGGGGAGCATGACGAAGGGTGCAGAGATGCCCGGCAGCAGCAGGATGCAGGCAGGAGGCACTTACCCTGTGCAGCCCATTCCTTCTGTAGGCAGGAAGGGAAGCTGACTTAGAAATGAGGGGATCTGCAAAGAAGCCACCAAGGTGCGTAAGGGGAAATGCAGCGTTGAGCCCTACACCCTGGGCGAGCACCCACTGGGCCACCCTACTGCTGTGCTCCCATGTCGCTACCCAGATCCACATTCACTCAGCTCTGTCTCCTGCCAGCTCCAACTCATTTCCAGCCTGGCTTCCTCCCATGCTGATGTTCCTCTCCCCGAAATCCCTGTCCCATGGAAGCCCTCCTGCCTCACCCTTCAGCACAACACGATCTCCTCTCTGTTTCTCTGACTCATCCTCTCCCAGCACTGCCACCAGCTCTGCCCTGGTTCAGCTCTGCCCTGGCCCAGCTTTTCACAGGCTCCTTCTTCTCTCCCCTTCTTCCTTCCCTGGCCCCAGCATCTCCTCCAGCTCAGGCTCTGGACCCCACAGCCATGGGGGACCAGCCGCAGAGGGCTCGCAGGCTCACACACTCACCGCTGTCAGCCAGGTAGTGCGTCCGGGGAGCTGCAAGGAGAGCAGAGCTGGGCGTCAGGCAGGACCGAGCGCCCTACGCCATGCAGAGCTGCCCGGCTGCCGGCCCCACGGCTCCTCCTCGGGGCTCCCAGGAGCCCAGCGGGGCTGAGAGGCTCCCTGAGCAACTCCGAACAGCCCCAGCTCCACGAGCGCAGATGTGCCATGAGGAAGGAGAGCATGGAATGGGCAGGGACATCTGTGCTGCCAAGCTCCCCAACACCCCCAGCCCCCCGGCAACCCCCAGGGGACAGGGGCTGGGTGCCCGGGGTGCTGTGCAGTGAGAGCAGCGCAAGCAAGAAAAGCAACCCTGGGGCCAGCCAGCAGGTCTGGGGTGCCAGGCAGTCCCAGACGTGCCATTAGTGAGGAGGTACACAGGCAGCAAGCCCGAAACAGGCCAGAGCAACCCCAGCGTGGCGGTGCTGTGAGGTTCCCAAGAGCCCCTTCAACCCCCCCATGAAGCTTTTCACCAGGCTGCTGAGTGATGCCCCATCCCAGCCGGGGCACAGGGAATGGATGGAGCCCTCCAGAGAGGAAAAGAGCCTCCCAAGTCCCAACTCTGGTGCCCAGCACCTCTCCCACCACACCTTCCCAGTCTCCTGTTCTCCCCTCTCCACCCCAGCAAACTTCCCACGGGGGCTGGGGCTGTGTCAGGTGGGACAGACAGACAAGACAGACAGGATCATCCTTACAGCCGTTGAGGGAGCCCTCGTAGCCAGCCGTGTGCAGGGCTTCTCTGCTGCTGGCCGAGCTGCGAGGGGGTGTCCAGGGGTCTGCATAGGAGTTGGACCGAGCCTTCATCTCCTCCCTCAGGATCAGCCTGCCGATGCCACTCTGGATCTGGGGCGGGGGGGAAGCCACTTTGCACCCCTCCTTTCCCTGCCTGGCCCTCCCCAATCACTGGCACATCGTGGCAGGGCACAGCACCTCCCAGCACAGGCTCAGCATCTCCTGCTCCGCCATCCCTGGGGATAAGGTTCTGGGGTGGGGTGCCTCAGCAAGGGGGTGCACCTTCTTCAGACCCCATGCTGGGGGTGGCCAAGGGGGTGGAGATGGCAGAGGGCGGAGATGGCAGAGGGCAGCAGGGACGGTGGTGGCCCCTTTTTGGGTTGTGGAGCTGGGCTGGGTCTCCTCCCCAGGCCAGCCGCCATGGGGCAGCTTGCTGCTGGCTCTCCCCTGCCAGGCTGCAGGCAGGGAGATCACTCACCTTGTGCATGCCCCGGTCGTACCCATCCTCCTCGCCACCCGACGAGAACCTCCGGGCCCGGGGGGCTGCAAGGAGACACGTGGCAGGGTCAGATGGGGATGAAGGTGGAGGCAGGTAAAGGAAGAGACAGTCTCCAGTTGCATGGGGACAGCTGAGTCCCAAAGGCTGCTAGGATTTTGGGGTCACTTTGGCAGGTATCTCGACCCAACCCCACCTTCAGGTCCAGGGAGGTCCCTCCCAGAGAATGGCTGGGTTTGGGGGCAGGAATGGGTTTCCCTTTCCCCCAACCCAATTCAGGGCCGTTACCTTTGGGGGAGCCTTGGAAGGACCAGTACTCTGACTCGGAGTGGTAGTAGGGGTCGGGGGAGTAGGCAGGGCTGTACTTGGACGACTGTGCGATGTCTTCGCTCGTTTTGCTTTTTGTGGCTGCAGGGAAGTTGTCTGCAAAAGGAGCAGGCAGAGGACCCTGAGTCCCGCTGGCAGGACTTGCAAAGATCCACCCCGGGGATGAAGGCAAATCCTCTTCCCTCCCCTCTCCCCAGTAGCCACCAGCAATTTACGTCTGGGACAGCAGGGAGCAGAGCTGGGAATAATCCATTTTCAAACTGCTGACACCTCCTGGAGACAAGGGTGCAGAGGCAGATGGCAGGGACAGTGACAAGCAGGGGGGTGTTGCTGATGTGGCTGGGCTCAGACCCCAGTGGCTCATAGCCCACAGCACCACAAGCAGCTCTGGCTTCTGCATATTGCTTACCCCAGCCCCAGTGCCACCAGTGCCACCAACCTCCCTGTGCCCCAGGCTGTCCCGTCACCCGGAGGGCTGCGATAGCACAGGCGGGAGGGGATGGAGGAAGGCTCAGTCCTGGCCGGGAAAGGGCTCT